CATCACCCGATACTCGCTCCTTCGACACATACCCATCCCCTCCCCCCTCATCTCGATTGCCGACCGCACCACCCCCGGCCGCCGTCGTTACTTTCTCATTCTTTTGCTCTTACCCAGCCTCCCGCGGTCCCTCCGCGAAAATCCCCTTTCCGTCGCAGCTTCGTCGTGAGTGACGATCTCTCCAAGTTCACGTTCGTAAATCTACGAGTTTAGCGAGAGACGCGTGTTTTCGTGACGCAAAGCTCGAAAAAAAAAAAAAGATCGGCTCGAAATATCGCTGAAATTTCCCTTTTAAAGATCACGTCAGATTTTTGTTCTCCAATCGCGGGATACTTTCGAAGCATTTTTATTCTATATGAATTCACACTTGTGCACAAGCGCACGTATACATATATCCCCGCGCTTATTGTAATACAAAATATAAAAGGCGCGGAAACAACGGTGGCGAGCACAGTAGCAGGGTCCTGAAAGAGGCGGGAATAAAACGGAGGAAGAAAGGCGGACATATACGAGTGTATTTCAATCGCTCTTAGCTTTTCTCTTTAGGCGGGCTTCGCCGTTTCTTTGCCCCACAAAAGCCACATTGTTTCGTCCACCGCGCTCTCTCTTGCGATAGGACGCAATGCTGAAATGCTTCTCTTCCCGCGAACGCGCGTCGGCAATCGGACACGAAACGTAGACGCGTGCATCTACGTGATGCGTATGCAGAAACATATTTGTCGTTGCGTAATCCTTTCTAACGTTCCGTTGCTCGTTCTTTATTTTGTTATTACTATTTACACGTTTGGTGAACAATTTCATTACATCTTCAATTTTAAATTATAAACGAGATATTCTAGAGTTTGAAATTTATAAAGAAAATAATTCGTCTAAAATTCGTTTTAATTTGTTGTTACAGTACAGTCTTATTTTGGACGCTTCAAATATTAGCTAAAATTCAATGAACTTTTATAGTGTATAATTTCCTATAATGCTTTCAAGTTCAATAATCACTTTCGAGAAATAATAGAAATTAATTAATCTACTTCTATGTTTTCCTGTAACGAACACACCAACGTCGTGATAAATAATCATTTCTTCCAACAGTAACTTATAATAACGCGCTGCTAATTCATGAAACATTTTAATTTCTTTCGATGTCTATCTCGACGGTTGTATTAGATCTCCCACAGAAATGCTCATCACTTTCCCTCAAAAGGTTTTCTTCTCAGAGAGCGAGTCCCTCTTTTTCTCCCGTACCTCCCCGCCCGTCCTTCTCGCGCTCTCTTTCTGCCTTTCTTTCTAGCTGCTCCTTCTTTTTTGCGATGTCGCTCGCTCGCTCTCTTTCTTAACTCTTTCATCCCCCTCATCTGCCGCCGTTCTCCTCGCGACAACATTCTTTTCAGTATTCACTGTGCAGTTTCTTGTACCGATACTTCCTTCTTTCATCGTCGCGTTATTCAAGCTTTTGATGCCGCGGCGACAAAGCTCTTTACTTCTTTCTGTGAACGAATGAAAGCAAAGAACGTTGGTGATATATATGTAATATATAAATGTACGAGTATATACATATATTCTATGTATATATATAAACAAAAAATATATTAAATATATATTGAGTATATACATACATACGAAAATATACATATACATATATAAGTCCTCTTTCATGTGAATAAGTACGTTGAAGCATATTTGCATTCGCAGTCGCGATAATACAGTGTGTATATGCGAGAATAGTAGATTTGGCCTTGAAGTTTCACATATTTTAAACATTCTTCTATTTACTCGTACAAAGAGAAGATATTTACTATCTTGACGATTGGATTCCTTTGGTCGATAATTACGTCGCATATAAAAGAATAAAGTGTCGAACAGTAGTTGCGTTCTATCGGTTCACATCTTGCATGCAGATTTCGTGCACAAAGTTAAAATCAATAGTGAGCAAATGACTCGAGAATTTAAATGTAGGTATAAATTTTGTGTATAAAAGAAGCGCGATTGAATAACAATTAGAAATCTTTGACGATTTTTATTCATAGATCCGTGTATTAATATTAGCGTAACAGTTTATTCAAACTACATTTCTAATTAAATTTAGTGCTATTCACAAGATGATTATAAAGATTCGAATGATGAACGCGATAAATTTCTTCCGCTCGCCCAAAGGTCACGAATTATCCTTCGTTAAAAGGGTCAAGTTTCTTCCTGGGGGGGAGTAACGACGTTAAAAGAAGTCGTTCAACCGAGGGTTTCTGTTTTTTTCTTTTCATCAGGGCAAATATATAATAAATCCAATATAGCGATTGAAGAGTGTTCTAATTTTTTTAACAATATGCAACACACAACGCATACACTCCAAATTTGTGTTTTTTAAATATAAACTATTTGACAAGGTTTCGAAACTACCTTACTATCCGGAGAGGATACGCGCTCCTATATGGTTTTCAAATGAAAACACCGGAACAAGTGTCTAGCGTATACGGATTATACTCCATTAGAAGGGAGACGTTTCCATTTAAAGGGTTTAATGGACGATGGTGACTAATTCGCGAGTGAAGATGCCGCGACAACGGGCAACGGCACGACGCCGCACGCGATATCGGAATACCGGAGTTCGAGAATGACAGATAATGCAAGGGTCGCGCGGAGGAGAGGAAGTGGGAAGTGGCGAAG